GGGGGGGGTGCAGGTCAGTCCAAACAAGATTAGTAACTACATGGGCATGAAGCAAGGTGTCAATTAAAATGTTTGGCTGCTACAGCAGGAGTAGTATCCTTGACCTAGTTTAGTTCTAATTTGCATTACAATCATAGGAGAACCAATCTATATATGTAGACCTGCGGATAGTAAGAGATATATGAATGTCTTATCTGCATTACAAGGCAAAGCTCTAACATACCTCATTTCTTCATGTGTCTTCAAAGACATGTATTTGTAGACCTCTACTCTCAATCAAATGATATATCCAGTGCTCTCTTCGATATAGTATTGCATAGAAAATGATATTCAAAAGTGAAGTCTCAAAATTCCATCAGAATACCAACATAGTAAGGTATGTAATTTTAACACATGGCTTTTGTATATATGCTTTATTCTGGGTTATTTGAAAGAAAAAAAAAATCAAATTGGTATGTTACAGGAGAAATCAGAAAGAAACCAGACCTAAAAAAGAAAACAAAATGAGAAAGATTAGATAAGACTAGAATTTGTAATATCTCCATCATGGACATAGGCTGATTTCACCATATAAACTTTACAGAAACTTGAATTCACCATATAAATTTTCTGTTTCTTTCTTTCTACCTGATTCTGTGCCCCAGAAACTTGAATTCTAGAGATGATTTTTTCATCGTATGAAGAACTACATAGATCACATCAACAAAATCTAGATCAAGTGGCCGTGAAACATCTCACTGGTCCTGATCTGGGGTCTACTCATAGAGTTGATGAAGAAGAAAAAAAACATCTATGGTTTTCCATTGGAGGGAGATGACTGATCTAAATTTTTTCTAGATCAAAAGCCTCACACAAATCACATAATTAAATCACAAAAATAGCACAGATACTCAAGCCTAATCATTGTATGCAGAAGATAAGAAACACAAAAAACAATCAAATCTAGTAATTTGACATTGAAATTTCAGGATGACACTAAAGATGAAGGAATTTACCTTGTCAACGTGACCAACTCTTTTGCCACCTCGACGAGTTTTACAGTGCATCACTCATCCTTCTGGTAATTAATATTGTCTGCTAGAACCATCTTCTTTGTCCTCCTTTTTGTTGCTTTTAGGTTTGGGTGTACCTTCGGGGATCGGCCACATCGCTTTCTAGGGTTCTGACTTGGGGCTTCTGGTTCTGCATGTTCTCCATCTTCTAGCCTCAGAGCTTCATCTGCTTCTAATGGGCTTGAGTCGTCCAGCATCAAAAGAATCTTAGCAACATTGTAATCCTTCTTAGAAATTGGATCCAATGGCTGAGCTTTATGATATTCTAGCATGGTTTCCAATATACGGTTCATTTCCGGCGCCGGCAGCCTTTGTCCGTCGCCATGTAGATGTTTGGGAAGCTCTGGCAAAACAGCTAGAGCTTCAGCGATCTCACTGTCGGTAACATTTAGAACAAGCTCTGTTTCTAGCGGCTTTTCATCGGCACTGTTTGCCTCATTTGCAGAAACAGGTATAGCTTGTTCTTGAGCCTGATGATGATTGCTGGAACCGGCTTCCAGGTCGCTCGCGGTAATTTGAGAACTATAGCGGAAACACAAAATGAGGCAATTTTTACTTTTAAAATTATTTTTTTTTAATTTATTATACGAGAGAGACATAAGAAGGACATGTTAATATTGTCGAAAAAAATATTTTAACTTTTATTTTTGTTTTTTATTGGAGAGAGAATTTAATTTCAACTTTTTTTTTTCACTTATTTTACAAAGAAAGAGAGTGGGTAGGGATAAATATGAGTTGACTTTTGATTATTTTTTATTTTTTCAACATATAATTTTTAAGTTTCTAATGTCATGAATTAGATCACAGACCCAAATTATTATAATAAAAATTTTGATTGTACTTAAATTTTTGGGGCCTTTTTTTTAGATTTAAAATTTAATGAATTTAATTTTTTTTTTGAGTTAGTAATGTATTTAAAATTATAGGGCCTTCTAAATTTTTTTTTTTTTAATTCTGTTGAACCGTTCCTGCGCAGCTTGCAAAGCTGCAAGTACTGGATCCCATTCTACATCAATGTATAAAGGGGTACAGTCTATACACTCCAAGTAATCAAAGGATTCCATTGTTTTTCCACAAAGATACGTAGAGAGAGAGAGGGGGGGGGGGGGGGGGG